CGCACTCTTGGGTTGTCATCATTGTATTCTTTACATAGAAACTGCATAAGCAGCAGGAGGAGCTCTCGTCCAAGTGCCTCGTTACCATGGAGGCCAGCTGTGTAACGAAATTCTGGTTCACCTAAACAAAAAGACAACATATTAATGCAACTAACAATTTATTTTCTGGACTAAGAGCCACTTGGATGTGGTAAAACCTATTTATATTGCTCTGTAAAGATGCAAATCGTTATACATGTACATTAAATGACAGACATCACGCAATGTCTACAAGTCAAAAAAACAAAATGGTACCAGCAAAAAGTGTAATGACACTCAGATCTGTGTCTCACGGTGAACCATAATCTGTGTAAATTATGCAATTCTAAGATGAGCTTCAAGCTGAGAGAATTACACTTAAGTAAAAATATTATAGATCTCTTTACCAGGCTCATGCTCCCCGGGGTTATCGGAGATTTCCATGGCATACATTTTCAGGCCCTGAAAGCTTTTTCCAATGTTGTAGATCCTGGTGATGTTGGGACATTCCTCATTTATTACCTTCATCATCTAGAAGAGTGAAGGAAAAACACATTTATGGATGGTTGCTGCAACATTATTGCTTTTGTAGGTTTTGGCATACTGCTAGAGAAGCAAGGTTGAAATGTTGCATTGTGCAGTAGACTGATAGTGTCCCAAGTGAGAAACAGACCTGTCTCATCTCCTTGTAGTTGTGGTGTCTGAAGTCCAGGTCATCGGATGGGTTGACCTCATTCTCACTGTGGTGGCTTCCTGAAAAAGTTGGCACAGAGATTAGCAGAGTGGGAAGGAGATATTTTACTAAGCAGAAGTTTTTCATTTCAGTTTCAGTTTCAAGTACACTACTCCACTTTAAGTATTTGTTATGCATTTATGATTTATTTAATTTATTTAAGGGTACCTAATATGCTTATAAACATGTTTAACAGGTCTAGTGTTGGCACAAGTAATCGTTGGGAATTAAAACACTCTGTTTTAGATCATTTCTATTTTATTCTCACATTACGTTTTAGGTGGTTAGAAATTCACTGTAGAATTTTGGATATCCTTTTTTTTCTTAGGCGAAGGACGTATGGGTCAATATGACCTGGTGTAGCCTGCTTAACTATGTTATCTGCTGACTGTATAAAAATTCCCAGGGAGGCCGGCGCCAGGTGCCTAGAGAAAGATAGTAGAAGTCGCTCCCTGCCCAGCAACAGCGGGGGTTGAGACAGGAAGCTGTTATAACTGTAGCAATGCAGGAGTTGTGTGTGAATGTATAAAAGAGGAGCTAAGACGTCCCAGTGACAGAGCTCTCATGACTGTGGAGCTGTGATGTTTGATGTGTGTTAGCTCTGCTGCATGCAGTAATTAAAAAAGCTTGGCCACAGCTGATCGTGTTGCAGACTTTATTAACAGAAAATTCCATCACAGTTAGGACCCCTGGTTTTAGAACCCAGGGTTTTGAGTTTTGTTTACTTTCGGTATGTTCATATATACGTTTTTTAGGGTTTTAGTTTTACCCATTTTGCCTCTCGAATCCTGGATACTAGGTCCAAAACCTGCCTGCTGTACAGTGCATCTTGATAAAAACACTCGTAATGGCTGAGGTATTTTGTTGCATTCTGAAGCTTTTGATGGTTTTAAATTCATACCCCATGAAGTAATCCACAGCAAACCCTCTTATTTTGACTTACCTACATGTTTAAATTTTGATCTTCAAAGTAACCTAAACCTCAGTTGTCAGATAGATAACAAAGTAAAAACCCTAATATTTCTATTTAAAATACAAGCTTATGAGTAAGTACCAATATTTTGCAGTCAAAACGTTCAGCTGCTGCTGAGTAGATGTTATTGTTGTGTCTTTCCTAAAGCTAGTGGCAATACATGCAGTTATCTTGCACTTATGTAGCACACTTAAGGACCACGGTTAGGAGGTTCATGCTATGATTCTGAAACAGACTTTTGTGTATTTCCACTCTTGGGAGAAAACATTCCTACTTTGGCAAAAGAACATTTTTTTCTTGTTTCCCCCCTTCCAGTATGAGGTGACATACTGTATTATGGAATGAAGAAAACATGACTCATAAGGTTGGAAAACTTCAAGTTTCTACAAATGAAGTGAAAAGTCTGTGAACATGTTAAGACTGATGTATTTCTGCATAAATATACCCTCAAACATTAATTTTCACACAGCTACTAAAAGTAGATAAAAAGTTAAAAAGCTCTTTAAAGAATCAAAGATTTAGTTATTTATTGAGATATTACATCCTGTGGCAGGGGGGAAAGTATTTAACCCTTGAGGATTAGCAGTAAAAACAAGCCATAATTGTCACGGTTCTTGGTCATTTTGATCCAACATTTCAAGTTTTTTGTGTTTTGGTATTATTCTTTATTATGGTTTATGTTCTGATTCACTAGTTGTGCTATTTTGATTATTATTATCATATGTTTCAGTTGAATTGTTGTTAATAGTTTAGTTCTTAAGTCTAGATTTCATGCTCCCTCTGTTCAGTGTCTAGTCCATGCCTCTGTGCCTGTCCTGGTCCCTCGTCTTTTTGTTCCCTCTGTTGCCATGTCTGTCGTAGTGTTAAGCTCGTGTCTCTGACTCCGTGTCTGTGCGTGCTTGTCTTATTTTCTGTTTTACTTTGATAGTCTTGTGTGCTTTGTTAGTATGTTTAGTTTTGCTTCTCTTGTCTCGTCCTACCTAATTAGTTCCAGCTGTGTGTTTCTCCTGTCTCCCGTTCCCTGATTACTCCAATGAGTATTTTAATCCTCAGTCTTCCCCTCTTTCTGTTGGGTCGTACACAATCCCTTTGTGTTGTGTTTCTCCCTCATGTTCTCGTTGCTTGTTTCTGGTTTAGTTTTCCTAGTTTATGTTTCCTAGTTTTACTTTCTAGAAAATTTTTTCTAGCATATAAAGCTGAGCTTTAAGTTTACCATTCAGTATGTGAGTCCTTCATTTGGGTCTTTCCTCCTGCCTGCCACACCGCAAATTTGACTTGACAGTAATAGAATCCAAGTTAATGCATACTAAATCTTTGTTTTGTCTGACATTTTAATTTAAAATATTACCATTTAAAAAAATACTAACTGGGTAGCTGACAAGCTAGGATCTCGGCTCTGAGACATAGACTGCCATTCCAGCTCTGAGGCAGAATACGGATGTAACGCGCCACCACTGGTGTAGCAAACTGACTCATCACTGGTGTTTCCTTATCCACATTGCCATAGAACAACTGTAGGAGAGAATCACAGGGGAAGGAAATGAGAAGGTGTAAAGGTGTAATTCACTGTTATGAAAACATTTTCATAATTAGTTGTGGCTCAATCACCCATTCAGCGTAGCCATCGTGTAGTAAAGTCCAGTCGCTGCTGTCGTTGCTGAAGGCCACAAAGTAGGACGACACAAAATCCTCACTAGGATTAAAACAAAAGAAATTACTGAGTACTGACTTTAATGAAACACAGCAGCACTTGTGCAAGGTTTTATTATGTGGAGATGGAGTAGGACTCACTGTAGCTCAGAGTTTCTTCCCTGGGTGATGACCCCGGTAAACTCCACCTCTCGGCGGGCATCAACTTGAAACCAGTGTTCTCGCTCCTCTGACTCTGCGCACCATGCACCACCATACAGGTCTTCATCATTGTCAGAGCCCTGTACACAACCACACAGAGAGCTGAAAATACATTGTTTTCCCGATAAAATGATGGAATAACTCTTGAAAGCCTAAGAGGAGTAATCATTGAAGCTCTTTAGAAACTATTCTAATGGTTGTCTTTATTGACTTATACTGGGGTGCAAAAATTCTTAATTGAGGGTGAGGTCATCAAATACCGTCTTTATGGGGGAGTTAAATTAGTCCCAGTGTGCACCTTTTATGTATTATTTTGCTTGCTTTTTCTGTTAGTCCTGAGAATAAAAACATGATGATTCACAAAAGAATGTTTTTTGTTGTTGTTTTGTTTTAACTGAAAGCATCATGCAGTTTTGTGCACTCTTTGTTTCTCCGAACTCTGCAGCATTAGTGGAGAGTTAGGATGACACAGATAGTTTCATTAAATGAAATTAACATCCATCCATTGTCCTTATCAGGGTCATGGGGGGTGCTGGAGATTATCATAGCCACCAGAGAGCAAGAAGCAGGGTACACCCTGGAGAGGTCGCCAGTCTTTCCGAGAGCTAACACAGACTGACAGACAACCATTCACACCTATAGGCATTTTAGAATCCTCAGTTAACCTAACCCAACTAACTGTGTGTTTTAA